AATGGTTTCAAGTCTGAGAATGGATCCCTTGACTGTTTCAGAAAAAGAAGTGCAACCAAAGCAACAAAATCTTTGCCCCCTCTGAGATCCTTTTCCCAGTGTCTGGCCAGCTGCAAGGTGCCTGGGCAGAGTGTAAGCAGCTGTGTTCCTTCTCCTTGTGGCTCCCTTTTCAGGGGTTTCACCTGCAAAAAACCACAAACCAGTGGATAGACTCGAAGTATCCAGTCCTTCTGCACCTTTTGTGTGTTTTCCCCTTTATCTCTTTCTTTATCTGGACCTGAGAATTTTGTGATTGGTACTTGTAAACTTTACACTTCCCAGGTGCTCTCTTTCTCCTCTCTTTCCCTCTGCTTTTCTGCTCCTGTCCTCCCACTCCCAGGAAATATCTGAAAGATAATTTGGCATATTTTCTGCCACCTTCACATATCTCCCTGACTTCATGTTTTCTTAGCTGGTAGATAGCTTTTCAACATATATACATATATATATATATATATATATATATATATATATATATATATATATATATATATATATATGTAATTATTTTCACCTAGACTTGTGAGGAATTCCAGGCTCTTCCAGTGGGAGTTTTCAGGAAGGTTTAGGTTAAATGGGCCAATAAGGCAAAACATGTAGCAGGAGATCTTACCCTCTAAAGACATCTTTTATTTTTTGCTCTTTATTTTATTCCCCTGGAAAATATATCAGAATATCTAGCTGTCAAAGAATTTAAACAATAACACCTGATCTGAAGACTGGAGCACAGGGCCTTTGAAAATAAAGATTGTAATCTCTGTGGGGTGTGTCCAGGGACAGATGGGGCTGGAGTCAGGGGTGCTGAGCAGCAGAGTGCTTTGGGGCTGCTGCTCTGGCATGGTGGCACTCATTTCAGCTGAACTGTCCTGTACATTCTCTTGGATTTCCCCTGGCACTTCCATATGCCATGGCATATTTATCACAGGACAGGACAGCATTCCAAGTCCAGTTTGAATTAATGTAAAATGTGTCGGTGGTGGCTGAGCTTTTCTCCTGCTGTGTGTGAGTAGAGGGAGAGACATGAGCAGCCCCTTGTGCTGGGTCAGCCTCCAGCCCCCTAGGAACTCTGGTTGCATCCTTGAGGGCTGGGATTCATCCCAGAAGATTTCAGATGTGCTGTTGATGTGCTGTTTAAGGCACCTGTCCCCACTTGTGAGAGAACTTAGGGAGAGGCCTGTTGCACAAAGAAGCATCAGCTGTCAGGGTGCTGCACACCCCTGGGTATGGCCAGCTGGGTTATAACCCACCCTAAAGCTGCACTGATCTCTCCTGTAGAAAAGGGGGTCAGGGATCCCTAGAAATAAGATGTTTCCAACATCTTAAGACTCAGAATTTGCAGAAGTGGGAAACCTCTGTGAGGCCTTGGCCTGTCTGAGGGCAGCTCAGGTCACATCAGGGAACAGACATTCTCTGCTGCACCTCCTGGCCTCTGTTCCCACTCCTCGGCACGGGGTGCAGGATGGTCCCTGGGGGTTTGGGCTGTCTGTCGGGGCCCTGGGATGGATGCTGCTGTGTTTGCCAGCACAAATATCTCACTGGATGCCTGTTTATCCTGTATTGCTTGGGCTGTGCTGTGGCACTTGCCTGGGAGGGATCTCAGCGCTGCCGTAACCTCTGCAGCCTGCAGGAAAGGTGACTTCCATCTAGTTCTAAATTATGACATTATTTTATTAGAGCTTTAAACTTTAGTTAAAATTTTTATTTAAAAATGGGGAGGAAGGTATCATATTTTAATTAGTAGCAGTGCCAAAGGAGTCCTAGATTAATTATTTGAAATCACTCCATCCAGATGGTTATAATTTTCACAGCAGGGAACCGGCATCTTTTTAAGGTGATATTTTTCAAATTAAAATCAGCTTGGATATTAGTCATACTGGCTGCAGAGCAAGGGGGTGGGGAACATGAGCCAGTGTGCCCCGTGTTTGTCCATCTGAGCACGGGCTGCCACGAGAACCTGTGTCAGAGGGGTGGGAGCTGCTGGCTATTCCGTGGGACCAGGGCTCACAGCTCTCGTGCTGGAGGGCTTTGGGGCTTTGTTGGTGTTCGCTCCTCCTCTTGCTGGCCAGAGCCTGTATCTGATGTTCAGAGTCACTCTCAGTAGCTTTTTACTCTCAGGCTGGAGTGGGCAGGGAATGCCTCACAGCTCAGAGGGAGCTGTGCTGTCCTGGTCTGGCCTGTGTGGAGCCCTCGGCTGACCCCTGTGCTGGGTGGTCCCACACCAGTTTGTGCCTGGGTGGTTTGGCCACTGTAAATCTGTGGGCAGCTCCTTGGTGCCCTGGGTGTCGGCCATGGCTCCTGGACCAGGCATTGCTGGCTCCACAACCTTCACTCATACGTTAGCTGCTGGTCTTGAGACAAAGTGAAAATTTAACAAGGTGGAAATCCATTTAGATTTAGGTAAAATGTGCCACTTTAAGCTTACTAACATAAGTGAAATATGCTGCTTAGTCTAGTAATTGCAGCACTAGCAAAGTTGCCCCAGCTAAGGAAAAAGAATACAAATTTCCACACTAAAAAGATAAGAGATAAGAAAGACTCCTCAGACCTTTAAACAGACAGCACAGAGTGACCCAAGAGTTCTTTCTGTACTTTCTGACAAAAACTAAGTACAAGTGTAACTAGTTATAAGTGTAATGCAAAATCAGCAGAATAAATCTGCATGAACCTATTGTAAAACTCTATGCATATAGAAATTAGTTAAAAGTAATAAAGATCAGGAGTTCTTAGGGGCGTGCACACCCTTTGAAGGGAAATCCCTGTGTGCGCCCAGCACTATAATAAAAACATACAATCCCTACAAATCTATATAAGAATTGTAAAGATGTAATTTTTCATCCATATTTGTCTCCCGCTCTGAGGCTGACCTCCATCCTCTGCTCATGTGAGGAGAAGCCTTTTCAGAGTCACCTTGCTCTTTAAAGGCAGACAGTGCCACCTTTGCTGTTCCCTTGGCTGTTAATGCTGCATTGACCTGGGCAGCCTCCCTGAGCTTCCTGGAGCAGTGGGCACTCAGTGTGTCCAGCCACGCTGCTCAGCTGCCCTGGGGGAGCTGTCCTTGGCCCTATCACCCCCTCCTGGCTGGCTCAGCCTGAGATCCTCACATGGAAGGGTTATTTCTGGCTCGGGGCCCTTCCTCACAGAACGGTCACAGGTTGGATACTGCCCTGGCAGGAGAGGGGACAAAGTGGGCAGCACCCAGGTGTTGCTTCAGGCTGCTCTCCATCACAGGTACCTAAACCTATGAGGTGTTTCCAAAAAACGTCCATAAATATCCATATCTGTGCATGATTGCAAGTAATATCCTGCTGTAATATAGACATTATCCCACTTGCTGTCAGAAAGAAGTTATAATTTAAATATCCCCCATGATAATAGGTTTAACAAACAGATCTAAATAAATGTAAGCAGCTAGTAACTGGAAACCCCTGAACTTACAGATGTGACTGAGCTGTGAGGGGAAAATTGTTTAGGGCCCTTGTGAGTTAAAGGTTTGTGATATTTGCACTGCTGCAGAAGCCAAAACCTGACTTTACAAGTGGGAAAAATATGAATGTGTTTAAATGAAACAAACTCCTATTTCTATCCCCATGGTAAATCCTTACAATGAACATATTTGCTCTTAGAGGTCTTTAAAGTTTGAAATATGAATGCCAAAAAGAATGTGACTTTCTGCAGCACAGATCAAACATTCTCCAGAGTTTGGCAAAAGCTGTATTTCTACGGTGGGGCTTAGCACTCGCAGGCGTGAGTATTTCCAGAGCAGGAGCATGGAGCTGCACTTGCTGACATTCACACATTCTTGCATTGTGTTTCAACCATGTCTCCTCTCGCATCCTCCATGTCAGAGATGGATCTGAACCAAAATGTCCAGTCTGCCTGTTCCTGCCTCTCCAGGGAAATTCCTGGAATCTGAGTCTTGAGTATGACTGGAATTTGTGTTTAGATTAGAGATGGAATAAAAGGCAGGATCTGTCTGGGTTTTTGAGATGATGATGATGGCATGCTGCTTGTCTGGGTGTCAGCCTGGCCCCTTCTGCAGGTCCAGCAGTGGCTGAGCAGGGGGTTTATGGAGAGGCAGCAGAAATCTGTCCTCTACCCTGGCTCCTGCTGCAAACCAGCTCTGGCAGCAATACCCTGCAAGACACTGAGATTGGCCACATTTCTCCCAGCTTGAGCCCGAGACCTTGGCCTGGACTGCCAGGAAGAAATTTGTGGCCTCCTGGATGCACAACAAGGCATGGAGGACACGTTCAGGGTGGGTGTGCATCAGACAGAACAAGCAGTGCCGAATTTCTCCCTGCTGGCTGTTGTGGTGACCTTTGGGAGGTCACTGTGATGTTTTGCGCTGGAGTGTGTGGCTGAACCACTTCTGTATGGTGTTTGAGGGATGCTGACTGTGGGAAAAGGATTTTCTTTCTTGTCATGCTAATCTTTCATCTTCATGAGAATAAAATCCATGTTCTTACCCTCCAAGAGCCCTCCTGCAGCGTGAAGGAGAACGTTGTCATTGGAACAGGGCAGTGGTGGCATCACCATCCCTGGAGGTGTTTAAAAGCCATGTAGATGTGACACCTGGGGACAGGGTGTCGTGGTGGCCACAACAGTGCTAGGCCATCAAGTTGGACTTGATGATCTCAGAGGTTCCTCTTTGTTTCTATTAACACTGAGCTAACGTTGCTGGTGGTGGTGGGGTTGGTGTGACAGATGGAGCCCACACGTATGTTGGTTATTCTGTGATAAACCAGCTTTAAATCCAAGGTATCTGTGTGGGAAGGAGTGGAGAGGTGTCAGTCCTGCACCGAGCCATGAGCTCGCTCCCTGGGTGCTCCCCGGGCTGTCCCTGCAGAGCACTCGGGCTCTGGTGGCGTGGTTCAGCTGGGCAGTGGGAGAGTGCCCTGGGGAGCTCTGCACCTTCGTGGGACCACACTGGTAAATGCTTTCTTTTCTTCTTCCTTTCCAAGCCCAGCTTCTAGTGGAAACAGACACTTTTGGAAGTCAAGTCCGGATCAAAGGGAAGGAGACAGATTTCTACCTTTGCATGAACAGGAAAGGCAAGCTAGTGGGGAAGGTAAGTGTTTCTTATTAATTCATCTGTAACCCGAGTGTTACCTTGAGCAGCCTCCTCAAGGCTGTAATGACGTGTTTGAGCCTCGTCTGTCAGCCTCAAACGAGAAGCAGGACAGGGGATGTGGGTTTGCAGGGCAGTTCCTGCTGTCCCGGGGGCTCTGTCACCCCCCAGGCTGTCAGAGGAGCCCTGCAGCCCCACGGGGCTCCCCAGTGCTGCTGCAGGTGTGCACGGGCTCGTCCCTCGTGGGAGAAGTCACCTCAGCGTCCCAGTGCCAGGGCCACCTCCACAGCGCCTTCCTCACCTGGTATTTCTTTGGGGGGACATGCAAATATGAATTTCCCCCGGAATTCCTTTTGGCAAGCAGAGCACTGTGCTGTGGTTCGTGCTGGGCAGCAGAAAGCTCCTTCTGCCAGCCAGGAGCCAGGCACTGGCACAGCACAGCCAGGGCTGGAACCTGGACATCGGGGATGCCTCGCCAGTGGAAGTATGTAACAAACTACAGCGTGTTCACCCCTTCAGCCCAACTTGTGTGCTGAAGTAGTATTTTTGTAATTCACACGGTCCTTCTTTATTGTTGGAAAAGCTGGAGGCTTGGTAGCCAGGCAGAGGCTTGTGCAAAACTAAAGTACCGTCAAAAAATAAATGTCAAATAGAATATTACAGCCTTCAAACCTCTGCTGTGCTCACTTTGCACCACCAGGAATTCAAATCTAGAATCTTTGTGGTCCTGAAAAAGGGAAGCAGCATTTTGGTTTTAGTCAAAGCAGTGAATGTCATGCTTCCAAGCAGAAACCAGAAACCAAATGGCCCTGATGAAAACTTATTTACTGTTGTGGTCCCAGGAGTGACACCTGTGGGACACTGCCTTCCCTGGAGGATCCCTCCCTCTTCCACTTGTGCTGCTCTGTGGAGGCTAAGCCCAGGACCCTGTGCCTGACCTGCTTTGGAGTGATCTGTCGAGGCAGGAGGCATCCAGGGCACTGCTAAAATCAGGGAGAAGTGGAAATCATCACTCTGGGAGGGCAGGGGGAAAGCAGCCAATTGTCTCTGCTTCTTGCCCTTGTATTATCAATCTGCATGGGACCCCATTGTTTGGTGTTGGACAGGGAAATTATTTTAACTGGTTTTAAACCATGTTGGATGCTTTTGAAGGTTGCATTGGACACAAACCTATCTTAGATTTTTCCATGCCTTAATTTTCCATCTTTCAAATGTGATCATAGCATTTTCCCCAGAAATGTTGCAAGGATAATGTTGTTCAGGTTTATGAAGTGCTGATACCAGTCATGGAGACCTTAGAAGCACTCAGGTGGGGTAAATTGAGCACAAAATCTTAGAAAAATCCTTTTTCTTCAGCAAGACCTTGCCCCAGTGGGTCAACAGTGGCACAGAGCAGCCTGCAGCTTTTCCTGTTCTGAATGGAGTGTCCAGGAGCATCCTGACAAAGGCAGCATCAGTTTTTCCAAACATAGCATATACTTGTATGGAGTATTTAAGTGTATTTAAGGCTTATCCCTTGATTTGGCCCACTGGGCACTGAGGCGGGAGTGTTGTTTCGCTTGTCACCTTTCAGGCAGTGTGAATCTTTTTTTTTTCTCCCCAATGTGCTTTTCATGGTGTTAAGCTGGCAAATGTTTTGTTACAAAGAACAAATAAGTCTGTTGCTGTAAATACTTCTGCCCTCCCACCCCAGCCTGTGACAAGTTCCCAAAGCAGCCAATCTGGGCCGGTGGGAATGTGCTGGGTAGGAAAATGTTCCAGATGTGTTGCCCCCATTAGCAGCTCCTCATGAGCAACAAAAGAAAACAATAGCATGTCTTCTTGATACCAAAGAATGTGTTTTTAATTAGTGTCATGGCTTCAGCTCTCTTTGCGGCAAGAGTTTGAGGGAATGCTGTTTAGCCTGGATGCTCTAAACAGCCAGTAAACCCCAAGGAAAACATGAGAAAAAAGTTATGCCTGGGCTTATACAAATATTTAAGTTCAGTGTGGAGGTGGAGGGGAACAAAGCCCACAAAGTGATTGTTCCATGGTTGTCCTGCTATGTTGGTTTGGCCGGAGAGGAGCCATGGGACCAGCCCAGGCCTTTCCTCTGTTCCTTTCCTATTGCCTTGCACTGCAGAACCCCCAACCAGAGCTGCACATGCCATCTGGCTTTGTTCTCCTCGCTCAGCAGTTTTGGATCCTCCCCACTTGAAAACCTGCTTTGAATTTAGTCCCTTTTGTGTCCCATAATCACCTACAAAGAGTGCCAGGGTCAGGAGCAGGTTGTTGTTCTCAGCTGGAACTGGTGATGAACCCAAGAACTCCAGAGGTAGACAGGGCTTTTCCCTACCTTGGAGCTGGCTGTCTTGTAGGGAAGCAGATTAACCCCCTGGGGATAAGAAGAGCAGCCTTTGTGTCCTTATTTTGATGATTGCACCTCCACCATGGTTTCTTAGCAGAGCCCTCTAACGGAGCCTGCTCAGGAGCCCCGAACTTGGTGGGTTTTGCCTCTCTCAGGTGCTGCTGTGTGTGTTCCCAGAGCAGTGACCAAAGGGCTTGGAGCTGTTTTGGGCAGGTTCCTGACTGTTACAACAGCAGCTGCTGCAGTCACTGGCACTCTGTGATGCTCTGGAAAATGAGACAGGGATGTGTTGTACAGCAATGACTTCTCTGTTACAGGTAAGCAGCACCTGGGAAAAACAATCTGGAGTGTGGTCTTTTGTGGATTCTTGGTGTTGTTTTGAAGAAGGCCCAAGAAACATTTAATTTTATTTCCTTTTACTTCTGCCCATCTGTTTTTTTTTTTTTGATCATGTGTTTTTTTGTGCTGCATAAAAATTGTAGGTCCTGAGTTTTCTGGTCTTCCTGAGGTTTTCTTTGAACCACTGAACTTTATTATAAAATTACAGAATTTTTTGGGTTGGAAGGGACCTTAAAGCCCATCCCATTCCACCCTGCCATGGGCAGGGACACCTTCCACTATCCCAGGCTGCTCCAAGCTCCAGTGCCCAACCTGGCCTGCCACACTTCCAAGGATGTTGGGGCAGCCACAGCTTCTCTGGGAGACCTGTGCCAGTGCCCTCAAAGTAGAGAGTTTCTTCTTTATATCTTGTATAAATTTATCTTATTTTAGTTAAAGCCATTACTCCCTGTTCTATTGCAACAGGTCCTGCTAAAAGGTTTGTCCTCATCTTTCTTTAACATTTTTAAATACTGAAAGGCTTCAATAAGTTCTTCCTAGAGCCCTCTCTTCTCCAGGCTTTATGGTGGAATCATACTACAACGAGAGAGACGAAAATACGAAAATTCAGAACAAGAATGCCAGCTGCTTTTCTTTTTTATAATTAAAAAAAAAATATTAAATCTGTTTATCTCAGTCTTCTTAAAAACACAGGGGGAAGAGGACTCAAAGGTGCAGTTCTTTTTCCAAGGAGAGGCACGATGTGACTTGTCCACTTGTGACAAGTCATCTAGAACACAGCAACTCTGAATATTGGCAGTAATTCAGTGCTAGAGGCGAAGAGGAGCTGATGGTCTCTTTGGAGGAGCTCTTGAGCTTCTAACTGGTTCTCCTGGGGAGTCCTTCTGTGGTTTCTCTCTCTACCTCAGCTTCTCTTACCTGAAGATAAGGCCCTGGGCAGGGTGGGGATTTTGTGTTTGCTGAGGCTGGCAGGGTAAGGCACTGAAGTGTCAGAGTGAGGAGCAGCCTGGGCAGAGCAGTGGCTCTTACCTGAGCTGGGCTCCAGCTGCTCTTGCTGAGCCTGTCCTTCCAGCACATCCAGCTCCCTAGAACTGCAGGGTGCTGCAGAGATTGCCTTTCCTCTGCTGTCCCAGCTGGCAGGAGAGCATTTGGGTCTGTGTGAAGCCTGAACCATCAGAGGATGCCAGAGCCTGCCCTTGTTTTGGACACAGCCAGGGTCAGTGGCTGCTGTGAGGGGAGCAGAGCATCTCCTGACCCCAGCACTGTCTTCAGGGAGGTTCCCTGACATCCCCTGTGGGATGAGGCAATCTGGCCAGTGCTGGTGCTCAGGCTGCAGCAGGTATCTGTGGGAAGGGTACTTCACTCCCACCTTCTTTCAAAGATCTGCAGTGATCTGGATTCACACACTCTCAAAATCATGGTAGTATTGGAGGCATATAGGGGCATTATTTTTGTAAAAGCATTTTAATTAGTTTGATTTTATTCCTCCATTCTCTGAGCTAACTGTGAGCAGAGGGGAGAAGCTGTTTGGTGAAGGGTAGGAAGCTGCAGACAGCTGGGGGGCTCCTGACAGGTGACAGATAATTTGGGTGCCTCCTGGGGATGTGTCCCCTGACACCACATCTGCAGAACTGGCACCCTCCCTGCACTCCCAACGAGCAGCAATGAGCTTTGGTCCCCAGGCACAGCCCAGCTCCTGAACAAAAGCTGTGCCAGCCAAAGCCTGGCTGTGCCAGGGCCATGTCACTGGTACAGGGGACAGGAGGTGGCATGGCTGTGCTGGCCACCAGTGCCTCTGCCAGCCCTGACCAGCACCACTGTGTTGGTGCCACTCACAGCAGACACCTGCCTCTCAGACACAGCAATTTTACTGGTGTGATAACTGCTTTCCAAGCTAATATATTTCTTAATGTTACCAGAAAGTTGCTAATACCATATGGCAAGGCTCTCTGTATTTTTGCAGGACAACAAACAAATTGTTGCTAGATGCCAGACTGCTCTGGCAGAGCTTTATCACTGATGCTTGCCAGCAGTAGCCTTTAGGGGATAATAATAATTTGGGGTTGTTTACATTACAGCTTTAAAATAGGGGTTTTCTTGAGGCACGAGTGTGTTTAGTCGGGAAAGTTGGCTAAAAAACAAAGACTGAAGGTGCCCACTGTGGCCTGTAAATGTGCTCTTGACCCCTGAAACTCCTCTGGCCCCATGGGAGAAGGAGCTGTGGAGGCTTCAGCAGGAGCCTCCCTTTGTAGGGAAGGAGACTCACTTAGGTGGGAGACAGCAGGGGATCCTCCAAAGCCTTTGTGCTGTACCT